TCCTTCCGTCCTTCCGTCCGCCCGTCACATTTCGTTTTCGGAGCAGATCTTGAAAACCGTACCATATTTCTTCACCAAACTTGGCACATAGATAGATCTAGTGGTGAACTGGTGCCTTTTGATAGTTTGGGATTTTAAAAAAAGGTATTTTTGAGTTTCCATGGCAACGACTTTGATTTAGACTGAAAATGGCGGTAGTCCTCGTTTCCGGAGCAGATCTTGAAAACCGTACCATATTTCTTCACCAAACTTGGCACATAGATAGATCTAGTGGTGAACTGGTGCCTTTTGATAGTTTGGGATTTTTAAAAGTTATTTTTCGAGTTTCCATGGCACCGACTTTGATTTAGACTGAAAATGGAGGTAGTCCTCGTTTCCGGAGCAGATCTTGAAAAACGTACCATATTTCTTCACCAAACTTGGCACATAGATAGATCGATCTAGTGGTGAACTGGTGCCTTTGGATAGTTTGGGATTTAAAAAAAGTTATTTTTCGAGTTTCCATGGCAACAACTTTGATTAAGACTGAAAATGGAGGTAGTCCTCGTTTCCGGAGCAGATCTTGAAAACCGTACCATATTTCTTCGTCATACTTGGCACATTGATAGGTCTAGTGGTGAACTGGTGCCTTTTAATAGTTTGGGATTTAAAAAAAAAATATTTTTCGAGTTTCCATGGCAACGACTTTGATTTAGACTGAAAATGGCGGTAGTCCTCGTTTCCGGAGCAGATCTTGAAAACCGTACCATATTTCTTTGTCATACTTGGCACATAGATAGGTCTAGTGGTGAACTGGTGCCTTTTGATAGTTTGGCATGTTTAAAAACAATATTTTTTGAGTTTCTATGGCAACGGCTTTGATTTAGACTGAAAATGGCGGTAGTCCTCGTTTCCGGAGCAGATCTTGAAAACCGTACCATTTTTCTTCACCATATTTTGCACATTGATAGGTCTAGTGGTGAACTGGTGCCTTGGATAGTTTTGGATTTTTTTTAAAAGTTATTTTTCGAGTTTCCATGGCAACGACTTTGATTTAGACTGAAAATGGCGGTAGTCCTCGTTTCCGGAGCAGATCTTGAAAACCGTACCATAATTCTTCACCAAACTTGGCACATAGATAGATCTAGTGGTAAACTTGTGCCTTTTGATAGTTTGGGATTTAAAAAAATAATTTTTTCGAGTTTCCATGGCAACGACTTTGATTTAGACTGAAAATGGAGGTAGTCCTCGTTTCCGGAGCAGATCTTGAAAAACGTACTATATTTCTTTACAAAAAGGTCCAGTGAACATAGTTCACAGGAGCTAATGCATTGCACACACCCGACATGTCATATTGGCGGGGGATGTGAGTATTTCATGCTTGTTCTTTATCAAGCTGGATGACAGGCTCAACTGTATGCATCATGGTCCTAAACTAGCGCTCAATTCTGAAGTGGCTTATGAATACGAGAATGAGTGATTTAGTGTATTAGAATTCAAAGTCACATCCGTAGTATTATAGCCCTAAGTGACTATCACAAGATGTACATATTAACATATCAAGGAAAGTTTTTCTGTATATTCGCAGAAAGAATTTGAGACAAGAAGAGTTTCTCAAACCCTCCAATGATTTGCTTGAACGTTATCTCAGAAACGAACCAAGTTCAATTGTTTCAAAACATTTGATTTTTCAACTTTATACCACCATCCCAAATGGCAAACTTAATGGAAAACTTCATTCTTTGATCTATGGGGCATTTGTTACGAAACACGGTGACCGTAGATATAGTTATAGCTCTATGTTATAGGTTTAGGACAATTTGCCCAAAATGAAAGCAAATGTTATCAAACAATATGTGAAATACTGGACTTCCTCATTGCTAAAATCTACATTAACCCTGGGAACAAGGCATGGAGGCAAAACGCAGGCACCAATTGTGCTCCTATACTTGATTATCTGTTTCGTTATGCACGAGTTAGAATTTCTGCTCGGAGTGGCAAAATATAAACAAGGCAACTTGGTGAAGAAGTTTCACTTAAGTTTCAGGTATATCGATGAACTGATATCGTTCAAAACGGTCAAATAGCCATTTCCTTCACCGTTCCCGTCACTCTGTAGAATGCGCATATATGTTCAGAGGAATGACGTCATTTTTGAAACACAATGGATGACGTATTACTACCCTTTATTCATGATTTACAGTATTGTTATATGTTGATGCAAATGTGACTTTATAAGAATCTTATGTCACACTTATTACACTCCAGTTGTAGCATTCGGTATCCATAGGGGTATTGATAAAGGTGAAATTAGTTTGCACTTTCAGGTTATCTTCATGCTGATGGGTCAGTTCTCGCTAATTATTTCGTTGTTTTCGTTGTTATGGTGAATACGATACCATACCAACATGTATCCAACGCCTTACCACAATAAAGATGACGTCACAGACATTTTAATGTGACGTAGTTTGATATATTGTCCGACATCTCTACCTATTATCAAGAAGCACATAGTATACGTTCGCGTGTGTCATGGAGAATGGATAAGTTACGGATTATGTTTCCCGAGTTAATTAATGTTGTGAGTCCCGAGCCTTGGCGAATTCCTCGCAGCTCCGAAGCTCAGTGAATTTAATTTAAATGTATGTAGGCTATCATAAATCATGTCAGCATGAGCAGAACGCACAGTTACTGTAATACTCACCGTTTAGTTATTTTGGCATTAAGCATACAACAGTTAACCCAGCATAATTTCGCAAGGTTGCAATGTGTTGTTCACCAGAAGTTTTCCATAAGCAGAAACGTGTTCGTATTCGTGAGTATTAACCGACAGCATTACATTACAGTTGTTACGTCGCTATATAAGTGCAATAATCTTGGACGCGACGTTAAACTCCATTTCACCTCACCTCACCGCATAGTTGTTAAAATAATGTCCTGATTTTATACGTAACCTTTGGGCGTTGAATAGGGACACAACACGCTGAGTTATCTGAAATATTGCCGCAGCGGCGATAACCAAACTAACATACTAACTCCAAAACACATAAGTGTTATATTTTCTATTCTTTATGTTACCTCTCTTAACGGTAAAGTTGCATGCTTGTAACGCGAGTTTTGTTTACTTTTATGCTTATCTTGAAGTAACTGGGACGTTTACTTGCCTTACAACGATCGCCTTAAAGCAAAACATTGACGTCCCAGGATCGGACCCAAGACGGTGACGGGAAATATAATTGTGACGTAGTCCGGAGATTTATCTTTTGGTCTTTTGGGCTACATTAAAAGAACCAAATGTTTCACAATCATCTTTCAAGTTTTGTTATTGTGAATGAAAGTGACGAGTGAGTCAAAATATCTCTCAACTGAAATCGAGCCAGTGTTAATGACAAAGTTACTCACACTTTGAAATTCCACCTATTTTGAACTACACTATAGCTATCATCGATTCAAGACACAAATTTATTGCAGTTAATGTTATTTATTTTGACTGATGATTTGTGCATCTTGCGTCGAAGAAACTGCGTCCCTGTCATAATCCCAGTAACCATAATGTATTCTTTTACGTTGGACGTCTCTTTCAATTATTCTTCATGAAAATATTCGATGTGGGCACTATATTACAAGCCTTAGAGATTTGTATTTGATGTGTAACTGAAATTAGTTGCCCTGGCTAAGAATAAATCTATTACTCACTCCATTCTCACTATGGCTTCGTGAAATGTATAGCACGGATGAGTGGTGGCTTTAAAGTTCTGAACCTAACCACGAAGGATGAATACATGTAGTACAGTTTGCATGCCTACAGTCTTTGCATTTGCACTAAATACACAACCAGACAACATATTTCTGCAGTCATTAAAGTGACTAGGTGTTCTCTGTTGATGAAAATGGACACTATTGGCTATAGCACTGTGTCATGAAGCATCTCCAACTGAAAGGGGTTTTACCAAACAGCCATTCCTGTAAACTTGGTGTCGACGTCAGACTTTCTCCTTTGCCAAATATAAGAGGTAGGTAGTGGAGGGGAAGAGACAGCATCGGAGATGATCCAAGAAGATCCACAGCTAAGATACATTTTAATATAATGGATGATTGACGACTCACCACACGTCACATAAACACAAAACAGTACGCATCTCTCATGCGAGGGATGACAACGTGTTGATGAATGAATTGAGGTGATAAAGGTTTCAGCAGGCTCCTGACTCCTGATCAGAAACGCACCAGGTCCATAATCTCTGATGAAATAATGCCGATGCGACATTAAATTTTAACTAGCACACTCGTGAGAATTTACATCGTTTAGAATCAGACCCAGTTGATTTTGTTGTGCGCTTTGTACGCTACTAACACTACTAACCAGAGACAAAACGACAGTCAAAGCAGTGAAAACATCTAACGCCTCCTCCGCGTCCATGGGAATCCTAGTGGTTTACATACAAAGTCAAGTGTTCACCCGAACAAACGCAGTAACATATGGGACTACCTCCAAAAGGTCAGACTATTAATGGCCAATATAATGCTGATCTGCTTAGGCCACCGCGTGAGAATATCAAGGCTAAACGTCGTGGAGAGCTCACTAAAAGTATGCTCCGTTATCGCCATGACTGCAATGCAATACTGTAGTTTTTCAACTCATTGAACATCCTCCGTATTCAACAAATTTGAAGAAAAAAGTTTCTGGCAAGCATTATGTAAACGGTTTTTTAAACCACGAGGAGGAAGCCTTCTACAGCAGTGGGATCCAGGTAATTCAGCATCGTTGACCGAAGTGTATGGACCTCGGAAGGCATCACCCGTGAATGAATGTTACACGTTGAAGCGGACAACAGACACTGTTTCAGACACAAGTGTAATCGATGTTTGAGGTCAGATACGTGTAAGGCTACAATCAATCTACAATCACAGCATTCAAAATATTACCTGAACAAGGTCGCCATACCATATAAGATTCCGATTATGCGAGGATACTGCGAAACTTCGCAGGCATCCGGAAGTTTTAACAACAATTGGGACTATGCAGGTGGCACATTTTATGTGCAACTTCTGGGGAAATGTGTTCGCAATAAATATGACCCGAAACAAGATATCACAGTTTATTTCTCACAAAACCTTCACTGTTCCATGCTATAAAGTTGATGGAATTTCTGTCATCAATATCATAATTACCTGGAGACTTTCAGACAGATAAACATAATACTGGTATACTCTTAAAACCTCAAATATTCTTCCTTCTGTAATGACAGTGAGCGATCATACAATATCTCAAATTCGATATGCACTGTAAATATGATTAATATGCATCATACAACATATAGACACATAAGAATCGGTGATGGTATTTCAACATGGAATGTATATTTCAGCAATAAACATAATACCATCACGTAAACGTGGGCCTTTCTTGTCTCTGCGAATTAGAGCATGACAACATACAATAGTTTAGTTTGTTTGTTTGTTGTTTACTGTGGTGATTGTCTAAAACATTGTATGTGTCTGATACTAATATATGATTAATCTCTTTCAATATGCAAACATTTGTAACATTAAAAAAATGAACATCGAGTATCATTCCGTAAATAATCAGCTTTGAAAAAGAAGACTTCAATATAATGTAATGATGGTGCCATGATAATTATGCTTCAATCACACTGTCCTTGATGGATAAATGACACCGACCTATTCAGCTCATGCGTCCACCTTGTTTGTGATACTTAGATCTGTAAGCTCAACTTTCTCTGGAACAAATCTACCATTCGCTTGCGACACACGAGGCGACAACTCCTTCACTACCGTGTGACCAGGTGCATGCTCTGTTATTGACTGGAACGTGAACACTATCGCTCCAATGTCATCTTTGATATTCTTTTCATTGGGTTCGTTTGATCTTTTAGACGTCATGTTATTATCATCAGAATTATTGCTTTTGAAATCCTCTTGATCTTTGTCAACAAGAACCATCTTCGAACAAGGAAAGAGTTTATAAAAGGCATTCCTGAATTGAGCATTTGTGGCTATGTAAATCACAGGGTTCCATAATCCAGAGCATTTAGCAACAAGAGCCGGAAGTGTCGCCATTAAAGGGGTAATTTCTCCAGAATTACCAAACGCCGACATGAAAGACACGATGGCATATGGTAGCCACGAGAACACGAAGATGCCTAAAAACAAGAAAAACACATTTTACATAATTGATGAATTTACAACAACAGCACCGTAGCTAAAACGGTGTCATCATATAATGTTCACCGCTATTTTGTCTTCTACGGCCAATGGAATCTGTTTGGGCAGTGGCCCTGACTGATAATAATTATTCTCAGGCATTAACGTTTTATATTACTTTGTTCTCATGTCAATAGTTTACAGCATCTCTAAGGGCAGCCACTTTCCGAATAAGGTGCGCACAATATTGCAATATAATTCGTAAAAATTGAAATAACACTGTATTTCAAAAGTGTGCACAACCAGCCTTATCTGATGGTCAGGGTCGTTTATTTGATTGATTGCATGCCATTGAACGTGGCGCATACGATAGCAATCACTGGATTGTCTGGTCCAGACTCCATCACAGGCAGCCGTTATGTAGCCGGAATATTGCTGACTTGCCTAAACAACAACAAAATCATTTATTTACATAAATATGAAATATGTACTCTGATACTTACAAACCATAAGGAAACATGTTTTAAACAATTTTCTTTCCAGTCTGAGATTCTTTCTTGCCACCCGACTCTTCATGTCCCATACATTACTTCTTGCAATATTGCGGACCTGGAAACAACACAGGTAAATACAATATTAGATTAAGTAATAGAACGATTGACAAATCAGAAGAAGCGGATCTTTTTTTCAAATAGTAAAATAGTCTCAATGTATGACGGTTTTGCTTTCGTAATATACGTTTCTTGCATACCATACTTTATGAGACACACATTTGACAGCACTATTCACACTGATAACGTAATGCAACCATGTTAGGTTTACTACGCGATATGTTGAGTGTGAGTGCGAAGACATGATTGTGTGGTCAAATGAGACACTTTTAACTGCACTTGCATAAAGGCAAAGCTTTTATGATTCACAACAACAAAAATAATTCACCATACGCAAGGCATCGTAAGTATAAGAATTATGTTTGCTTCACAACTATCCTAGTAATAAGATTTGATCACTGATTGGTTGTGGTAGGATATCGAATGTTCGCGTACGGGTAATGCTAATATCAGTGTATCTAATTTATATATTCCATCTATATGTCGGCGGTCTGTAAATAGTCAATCAAGAGATGGGTATCATACGCAATTTGGATAGATAACTTGCAATCAACCACCTGACCACTCGATCCATTCAGTCGCCTCTTATGACAATTGGTTGCTTGGGACCTATATTCTAATCTGGGCTAATGTAGGCATATAGCCTCGAGCTACATGTATGTTGGTGTCCCGTCAAAATGATGTAATCAAATTGTACGCTCTATTCCTAACAGAAGCATCTCGCAAAAGGTATGAAGCAGGATACAAACACGTTTTTGTAAATAAAAGACTTCAAGGCCCTACGTTTTATAATTCATATTTAGTTTATCTGTGACAGGCGTGAGTTGCAATTGGGTTATTTATAACCAGATCATGTGTTTAGTGTCATTATTATTATTATCATCATTATTATTATTATTTACAGATTGAAATACAAGCAAAGAGGGTTTTGGTGATCCTGGCACAGTCAGGCTGGTTAGGCTCATCATCAGCTCAGGGCCCTTGCCCCCTCTACACGCAGGCCAGACAGCGAATGGGATTTCTCCCAGGGAGCGCTGCCAAGCCAAACCCACCGAGAACTTTTCGGAGAATGCGAAGACTCCCCAACACTGCAGCCTTCTGCATTACCCAGATTGTCAGAAGTGCTGTATTCCTGGTAGCAAACCCGGGTATTCTCCCAATGTCAGTCAACAGATTAGGAGGTACCAAACCTAAGGTACCGAGAACAACGGGGAGGCCGACAACATGGTACTCGGGATGCAAGCGTGTCATTTCGAAAACGAGGTCCGCATATTTGCCATGTTTTTCCTGAATCTTGTCAAAAGGGACAGAAAATTCAATAATGTATATGATTTCATTGGATTTATCAAAAAGGACAAGATCGGGTTTGTTGGCCTGGATACGTCTCAGGCTGTATACGGGCCCATTCCAAAGAATTTTGTATTTATCATTTTCCATAACGCCGTCTACATATTCTGGATCGTACCATGGATGGACCCCTGTATCAAAACCACAAGCATGGCGGAGACGGTAATAAAATGATCGAGCCACACCATCACGTCCCTTAAGATACTGTGTTTGAGCATCCAATGCCTGCCTTATATGAACATTTGGAAGATTTACAAGACCTTTGACTGCATCTACAGTTTATGCTCTGGATAATATTGTCAGGTGCTATTGACAATCCATTTAATCTTCAATCCTGCATCCGTCATTGTCCAACCTTTACCTTGACCTGAAGATGGTGCAGAAATACTTTTTTGTAGACAGCTACAGAAGATCCTTGCTTGGTAATTGGCTCTTGTGTAAGTTTGTCACTCACACTGCCAAATCGAAAGCAGTTTCAACGAACATTGCTCACATGTATGTATGTATGTATGTATGTATGTATGTATGTATGTGATAGCATGTGGCATGTAAGTCTGCATGTGTGGTCTGGTTGTGTGCTTATGTGTGTATGGGGTTCTGTGCGATGTGGTGTGGTGTGGTGTGGTGTGGTGTGGAGGGATGGCGGTTTCACATATTTAAATACATGACAATATAAACAACCAACTTTAAAGAAAAATAGCCCTATTTAATTAGGGATGAATGTGAGCTTGAAAAGCTGTTTTGGGTCATTTTGGCCACCCTGTTTCGTTTTAGAGATGGAGCCAGTACAGTCTGTATTTCAGTTCATGGCCTTTATGTTGTAAGTCTGGCGTATCATCGTCACCTTCCACATCATCGCACCCCTAATAATTACTAAAAATTAGATTAGATTTGATTGACTACTGTTGCATGCGTTTAACACAGCACTCGGCAATATTCAAGCTATATGACGGCGGTCTGTACATTATGGAGTTTAGACCAGACAATCCAGTGACTGACATCATGAGCTTATCCGTGACCGTCTAATAAATCAATCCCTACAAAGCAATGACAGTGATGTTGTTTAAAGTGTATATAAAATACATAAAATATAATAATTCTTAGGCAGTCTACATATTGAATAATATTCAAGTACCTGCTTTACCATGTTTACAAAAGTAATAAATTGTAAACTAAAGCGATAAGAGGTTGTTAATTGTTACAAATGCAAATCCAAAGTATCTTACTCCAACTTGCAAAATTGACAATGTTTTTATGTCATGTAAACACAATCTGAAACACAATGTCGAAATGAGTGAGTGAGTGGGTGAGTGAGTTGGGTTTTATGCCGCTTTTAACAATATTCCAGTTATTTCACGGCGTGTCAGCCAAATTTTGTGAGGAAAGCCCGAAGTGATGCAGGTCTAAGACGTTTACCACTTCGGTGAAACCCACGAGCACGGGTATGGTGCTGACAAACCTAGAAACATAATGGGGCGAACCGGGATTCGAACCCACAATCATAGATTTCTGGCGTGCCCAAGGGACGCAACTCCGCACAGCGAATCGCGGCGCCTTAGACGACTGGGCCACCCGTGCCCCCATGTCGAAATGAGAAGAGTTCATTCACTGTTGTAGCTTTACAGAACCAGTCAAATGCCCTATTGTCATTCCCAAAGCAAGATGTATGGGTATTAATTTGCGCCCTTGAGCGACAAGACTTATAAGTTCTTGTGCATTGGAAAGGAGCTTTCGTAGGTTCCATTTATGCCATCTCTCTCATGGCAAAAATCATCTGTCAAAGCACAATACCATGCCATTTAACAGGACAGGTGAAACAACTTTCAGACAGTCATTAGTTGACAAAATACCTGCATTTGGTGGCCATGTAACCATGTGATGCACTGTTCGAACAATGATAGAAACTCTTGTGATGTTTTCTGTGACTGATGGATCATTAATTAGCTGGTCACGTTTTAGATGCAGATTCGCTGTCAGATGCTGAAGGTATTTTCACCATTATTAATCAGGATATCTATTAATCAGGAGATACTGGCACTTAAAATACATCGAGTTGCTGATTTCACCTCACCCGTGTGGGAGAAGGTTATATCATGTTCAGTTTCGGAGGCATGGTTACCTCCACATACATGGATTTTTATATTTACATCTTGACAAATCCTCCAACATCAAGGTTGGTTGGTTGGTGGGTTTGTTGTTTTACGCCGCACTCAGCAATATTCCAGCTATATGACGGCGGTCTGTAAATAATCGAGTCTGGACCAGACAATCCAGTGATTAATATCATGAGCATCGATCCACGCAATTGGGATCGATGACGTGCATCAACCAAGTCAGCGAGCCTGACCCCCCGATCCCGTTAGTCGCCTTTTACGACAAGCATAGTCACCTTTTACGGTAAGCATGGGTTGCTGAAGACCTATTCTACCCCGGAATCTTCACGGGTCCAAACATCAAGGTCATCTTTGGGGTTGTAATTGGTTTGTTATTTAACATCGTGGACCCTCAGTACAAGAGAGTTATAATGGGCCATTATACCATTAGACCGTTAACCAGTTCAGCCTTCACCTTTATCGACAACATTTTCGCTGGTGTGTGGGCAGTATATATTTTCGCCTGAACAAAGATTTATCTATTGTCATGTCATCCGGTATAACCATGACTGCTTATATTGTAATAGTAAACCTGCCGTTCGAAGCGATACTGTGGGATCAGCTGATCTTTCACCTCGCTTCATTTTATCGCTGATTAATATTCATGCATTTCAATACAGAGGCTAGGAGGTGCGGAACGCATAATGCGAAGGTCAGTTGATACAAGTTTGACAACAACGCAATTATTTAGAAGTTATATAATTGAGAGAAGTGAGAGAAAAAAAGGACAAGAAATTGTGTAAGTAACAGCCACTGACAGATTATCTCATCAACTACATACATAATACATTTTGACATTTGTAAGGGGTAATTGGTGCATGGTGTATGAGAAAAGTTGTATGGGTGAAAAGTAGCTGTTTATTACCAGTTACTGCCATGATTACATACATAGAGAATACTACACTCATTCTCGTTAGATACCATTTTTACGAAACGAGTTGACTTTCTATGGCATCTGTCAGATACTATAGAAACTTCACCTGTAATGACCTATTACACAAAATGATGGACACATTCTATAAGACATAGAATAAAATGGGTAATTCTTTCATTTCAAACATGACTGGCATGCATATTGCAACTGAGTAAATGATTGATTGTCTGAATTAAAAAACCCAATTGAAATCAGATGTTAGAGGATCAATTATTATGTCAAGGCACGGATTTGTAATAATGTTTAAGATGTGGTAAAGTTCTGCGTGTGCCGCAAATGTAAGCGTATGTTCGATTTTATTGCATGGAAGTCCATGGTAGTATGAATTCTATTTGTTAGATTATTTTGAATGTTGTAATAGTGTAGGAATTGTCGTGGGAAATAACACAAAGGCTGATAAATAAAGGGAGTTTGTATTATTTCATCGATGCGACGCTACCCCAGACTAAAATAATGTCTCGCTGTTTTCTGACCTTGACAATATACTTTTTTTTCATGGGGTTATCCACTTATTTTCCATCGTGTCAATTCCTGTTTCAGATGAAGAGAGAAATGTTAATATGCTAAACTAACTATCACTACAAAGAGTCGCACATGTTCTCGTTAAGATATCCAGCAGTAAACGACCGTTTCTAAATGAAAGTGCAACATGGTGACGTTTTAGCTCGGCACCGTCTCTACATGTCACAAGTTGTTGAATCGGAAACCAGACCGGAAGGTTTGACCGTCGCTTATATCATTTAAAAAGAAGAGTTATGTCCCTTTGTGTTGGAGAATGTACGATGACATTGTTCTGTCTATTGTACACGTTAACCTTGTTTTATCCTGGTGATGACCACATACACATATCATCCCAGTAATGTTTGTATTGATTTTCCTCTATTATGCGCTCACTTACAGCAACTTATGGAGTAAATTGTGCGTAGGTTAGCAAATTTCCCTGTTTTTACCATCACTTCCGGAATGTCAATATTTCGTTGTGACCTCAAGGACAAGCTTTAGAATTCAGAGGTAGGCACGGTGGGAGTTCTTCAATTGCAGTACATGCTTGCACGCTAGTATGTACTGCAAATACAATTTAATCATATTGATAGTGTTGCTTTTCATGCACGTGATTGTGATTTGTGTTCCTGGGGGACGGTGTAGGGAGGAAAGAACATGGTTATATCGTAAGCTGTGATTTATTCTGAAAGGTAACCCTTAACTACTAACTTCTCAAATAATTTCAACAATCATTTTCTCTGAACGTAGGAACTTACCATGACTGCTACATACCATTACATAGCAGATTTCGAAAAGCTACTTCATGCTAACCCGGACGGTGTCAATATCACAATATCAAAGAATGGGTTGTCTGATCCAGACACGATTACTAACAGGTCGTCGTAATATAGCTGGAATATTGCAGAGTGCGGCGTTAAACAAATAACAAACAAACACCCACTCACGCGCGCGCACCCACACACATTTCCTGCTTCACCAGGTTTGAACTCCGCTTTGAAAAGTAATACTCCCTGCATGTCAGCTCCGTGTGGGTGGAGCAGATCTAGGACGTTTACCATTTGGTGTATCCCCCGAGAACGGGTATGGTGCTGGCAACCCTTGAAACAAAATCAGGGCGAACCGGTTTCTGCGACGTCCTTAGGACCAAACTGCACAACGAATTTCGGGACCTCAAACCATATCTAATTTCGCCAAAAATAGCGTGTGCATCGAGTGTTTGTTAGCAGTAGCAGTGAAGGACTGTGTATATCAAAAGCATTTCTTGTGCTTGTATAAGTCCGGACTAGCCCATTTTATAGTGCTTGCCCACCGAGATACCATTCAGCAGTTTGACATGAAAACCCCACTCAGACACAGTATACTGACTCCGAGCCGACCAGTCCTTGTTATAGCCCCTTAATGCCGAGCGCCAGGCAGGGTAACAACAAATACCGTTTTAAACGTCTTTTGGTATTACGCGGACCCCGGACCTTCCGCTCTACCCCTAGATCACGGAGGCGTTATACATATTCATACGATATCCCTTTTTACAACAAGTAATTTAAAAAAAGTGGCGAATGCCTCGTAGTCTCATCATGAACGGAGTAAGCATGAGGCTGTCATATGTATGTGTCTTATAGGATATCATCCCCATTTTGGTCTCTGCCTAAATCGCAACACGTACGCTAGAACTAGTGTACATGCCATGGTATATCTCCACTAGATGTCTGTACCATTGATACTACAAACATCAAATTCACAGCGTCGGATAGGAGAAGGAACAAGAATTGTTCGCATGTTTATGTATGCATTTTCAACTCACCGTGAGGTACACGTTTATGTAGGAGAAGGCCATGATACAAAGTGGGAAGATGAAGCACAAAACAAAGATGATGATGATATAGCTGGTGCTGACGGGGTCTTTACTCTGCCATGCAATACTACAAGAAATCCCGACCCCTTCCAAGCTATAATGACTCCACCCTACCAGAGGAAGAGCTGCCCAGAAGAAGCCCAACCCCCAGCACACGGAGATAGCTGTAGCTGCGACACGATGGGTAATCTTATAGGACATGAGAGGCTTCGAAATCACAATGTATCTGTCAACTGATATGGCGGCCAGAAGGTACATGGAGGTAAGGCCTAGGAAGTACACCATGAATCCTTCAAGAACACAGAACACATCACCAAACACCCACCCATGGCTAAAACTGGCTGCACACGCCACAGCTGAACACGAACACATCAATATGTCGCAAACACATAATGCTATGATGAACAAATTTGTCGGTGAGCGCAGAGTCTTGTTTTTCATGAACACCAACAAACCACATCCGTTCGCCAAAACCGAAATGATTATTGCTATTACAAAAAGTGCCCCGATAAGGTGGTATCCAAATGCTGGCAACACATTCACCGTGACTGAAGAGTCAGTGGCCATTGTGCGCAATGAAACAGAGTTCGTGTTAACGGCATTGAATTTCGTCGTCATTTTTCAAGCTGATATCCTTCCAATGAGAGGTGGCTGAGTGTATTTCTCCATGTTATCGCCTTTAATGGATTCGTAAAAAGCTGTTGAGATAACTATATCGTCCATTATTAAGGTCGTATTTCCATGTACATTTTGCCATAATCTCTTCCAGGGATCCTGCAAAACAAATAAATAAAAATCATTGTTGAGTAAGAATACAACAAAACCAATCACTTCTAACTTAACTTGGTGGCATAAACACATACCGCAATGATTTGGATGGCTGACAATAAACCTTCTTAAACGTTTCTAATCCTTTATGTACGTTCTAATGGATATCAATACAACATCAGTACAGAAAGGTGATGATATATCAGTTAGTGTGAAATGTGTACTACCTTGTGTATATTTGTTTGTTTGTTGTTTAACGCCGCACTCAGCACTATTCCAGCTATATGACGACGGTCTGTAAATAATCGAGTCTGGACCAGACAATCCAGTGACTGACAACATGTGCATCGATCAACGCAATTGGGATCGATGACATGCATCAACCAAGTCAGCGAGCCTGACCACCCGATCCCGTTAGTCGCCTCTTACGACAAGCAAAGTCGCCTTTTATGGCATGCATGTGTTGCTGAAGACCTATTCCATCCCGGGTCTTCACGGGCCTCTTGTGTATATAATGTATATATTAAGTAATAGTAACTGTATATTAGTTAATAGGTATCTGTATTAGTTCTGGCATAATATTCTCTGTGAATGTTCCCAAGAGTTACGGCGGGGATGGAAGGGGTGGTTGTGGGTGAACAAACCTGATTGAAGTATTCACTCCCGGCGTTCGCTTCTTTGTTAATGAAGAACTGCTACAAACTATATACTGAACAAATGAACGTATGGATACCCAGGCAGTGGTCATTTAATAAACCCCAACAGAGAACAGGGTTACATTTTATATCCCTTTGACACCGATTGAACCTAACATCAAACATTGTTAGTTGTAAAATCACCTTGAAACACCGGCACACATACTGAAAATCTGGACAATACATAGAAGCCACAACCAAAAACAAAAAGAAACAGACATTTGTGTTTGTTTAATTTTCATGTAAATAGAAAATTAAAACACTAAAAGCAAACATTTTCCAAAATATTTGTTCTAAAAGCTTCCAATAAAGCTAATAACACCTTGCCAGAAAGAAGAATCTTGCACAAGAATGTGTTTGCAGTGCCATCCCATCTCCTCCAAATGGGTTACTCTCGTGTGAATGTTAGAATGTGTTCCAAGCAAGTTGCTAGTCGTAAGAGGCAAGCAAATGGACCGGGCGGTTAGGCTTGGTGACTTGGATGATTACATGTACCCAGACGGTATGGATCGTTACAAACAATATCAATCACTTGGTTGTCTGGTCAAGACAAGATGTTTTACAGGGCGCCGTCATTTAGCTGATATACATTGGGGTTGAGCAACAACCACACCACTGGGTTAGGCATAGGTCTATCAAAATGATTGATTATTGTATGTTATACTGATTGGATTGTAAAGTATGATCGTATTCATTTTGTTTTCATCCCGTTCACCTCAAAGCCTAACGGGATCGGGTGGTCAGGCTCGCTGACTTGGTTGAAACATGTCATCGATCCGAAATGCGTGGATCGATGATCATGTTATCAATTACTGGATGGTCCAGACTCGATTTTTACAGACCGCCGTCAAATAGCTGGAATAGTGCTGAATGCGGCGTAAAACAACAAACCAACCAACCAACCTCAAAGCCACTAAACTGTTCCTCTCGAAGTACATTAAATCCTGCATCGTGACTGCTACACGTTGTAAATATAATCGCCGACCAGGCTTGTATGAGTTCATATTTGTGTAAATATCTGGGGTAAAAATAATCTACCCCTGACGTGATCAAGTGTTTGTATGCAAAAAGTGCACAAACCTGAACATCACTTCAAGTTTGTTACATTCGTCCGTACGACACAGACCAGTGTAGGCATCACAAATCATCTGTCTGTCTGTCTGTCTGTACTATCATATGTTGTTCTCCTGTGTATAATTGTACGTGGTTAAACTTAGTAATTAAGGGAAAATCGGGCCCATTAAGACGTTTGTAATGATACACTGTACTTTTATAAACTACTTCGAATCGGCTACTTACACATGACAAGCAAACTTCGATTAAACAGATACCGAAAAAGATTATCATTGGGATTACCATATGATTTACACACATTTTCAAAAGCAGTGGTATTCTGTGAGTGAAGCTTAGTTGACCCTACATATATTTCTCTTATTTGATGCAACGAAAACCTTTCATGATACAGTACATTCATTAACATTGTTTCAGGATTCATGGTCCTGCATTGAACAACGATTGACGTCAGAAAAACAACATTTGATGATACGTGTACACGGTTTACTTACTGGATATATTGGCTGTAAATTACTATGATTCGGAATTTCTCCAACGGAAAACACTGTTATGTAATATGCAATTCGATTAGGACTCTTTGGATGGGATGTATAACTGTCATATCCGTTTGTGGTAGCGCAGTCTCAAATGTTAAAGATATCACCTCTTTAGTGAATGAGTTACAATTTAACGTGGTATCGGCATTATTTTAGCCATATAAGGACGAGAATAAGTTAATATAATTGTGTCACGAATACAAAGTTGTATTTAAAAACAAATTTGTCAAATATATTTGGGCAGAAAAATAATATCTGCAACAGTTTAAAACACGGGCTTTAAGCCACCTCGCTGAGGATCATGGGGACTTACAGTGTCACAGCTTCCTCAGCCCACTCATACTTGAAATTTTTGTCTGTTGTTTAAAAATTGAGTTATGAACTGTGGTAATCTGCCCCTCAATCCAAATTCATACAAATGTATTAAAATACCAAGTTTCTAGGTCGAAAAGTTTGATACAGTATGTCGTTTGTTGACAATAGAATTTTTTATAAATCATTCTAAACGCACCAGATGGTCAATGATACGTCTATTTTTACGGAAAGCACACTGGACGTCATTCGGGAGGTTACCGGTCTCCAACTGCGAGACTAATAGATTATTGACAATGCGCTCCTTGGTTTTACAAACACAGTTACTTAATGACATGGGATGGTTATTGGATGGACCTATATGATCCCGTACACGCTCTGATATAGGAATGATAATGGCATTGTTTTACGAAGGAAGGAAATGTCCGGTTGTCCATATTTCATCAAATATATTAAGTAGTGTTTCCAAACAAGCGTTTCAGGAGCTGATAATGTGTCGTCTGCTCCTGCTGCGGTGTCATGAGCTTGCCCTAGGGCAGTGTGCTATTCATGGAGTGAAAATGTTACATTATAGTGCTCACCATTATCAGAATAAAAATGACCTTTTTCATTTCCTGTTGTTTTTTAAACCTCTGAAATTGAGGGTTTATTATAATGGTTTCCTAAAGTTTCACCAAATTTGTTGGCTTTTTTTAGATTTAGTAGTCAATATTGTGTATTACCATTTTTGTGATGGTGAACTCCAGGTTTTGATCTTTTGCTGTCTATCTTTTGAATTTTGTAGGAATTAATTTTAGATAAATATTGTTTTCTGGGATTGAGTTTATTGTGTTAAAAAATGCGTCTCTTGGCGCTTGTGAAGTTAACATCATTTAGGTTGTGTAGGGAAGGATGTCGGCGGAAATATTTCTCAGCTTTCTTCCTATTTTTTCCAGCTTGTTTACAATCATGATCAAACGATGTTTTACGTATATGAAGGTTTTCAGAGGACTAAGGGATGCTTTCGTCTCAAATAGAATTTAATTGATCTGAAAATAGTTGCATAGGATGAGGACCATTCCTGAAACTGTCAGCTTTTAGTTTTACTGTACGTCGTGTTTGGAACAAAGACCAACTGGGCTTTGTAAAGTTCCACCTTGTTGAAGATGGTTCTTCAGCGGGATTGATAGTTGTAAGTATTGTTGGAAAATGGCCACTTCCACAAAGGTCATCATTGACTGACCATTCAAATTCATATAAATATTTGAATCTGTCAGTGAAAGATCAAGGGAATTGTATGTGTCAGTAGCAGGATGATCGCCAGCTTGGACCCTCGCAATTCACAACCCAACACAGGTATTCCAATATACTTGTAGCTTTACTTCTCAGTAATGGCCAAACAACATGTGAAGAGAAGACGAAACAAACCAAGGGAGGTAACTCTCCCACTACCTAGGCAGTCTGCCGCTAAACATAAACAACGGTCGCCAACCACACTGGCGGATGATAGATGTACATTTTTGGGGAATAAAGCAATTTAACATTTCTGCATTAACATAAAAAGGCCATTTCATTAAAAAAAGATTCAATATTTGTCCCTCGGCAAGACAAACATCACTTTCCGGGTATCTTCATGGGGGCGCATTTAGCAAGCGCCAGGTGCTGAGATCGTATCCCGGTGGTGACCTGGTTGTCATTCAGTCTTGGGACCAACAATGTTTATAGGTCTTTACAGTGTTGTTACTACACCTAGAGTACAGTACATACACCCTGTACCCTCTTGTCCTCTGTAAGTGAGTATGGTTTTACGCCGCTTTTAGCAATATTCCAGCAATATCACCGCGGGGACACCAGTAATGGGCTTCACACAGTGTACCTATGTGGGGCATAGTGTTAAACAGGACTCTGTAAGAAAACGTAAAACGTCTGGTTTAATGCATATAGCGACGTTTCGATGTAGACTGTTACACTTTTATGGAGCTGAGTGATATGGTCATATGATATATTTTTTACTCAGGACAACTCAGGACAACCCCAGTGCCCCAACTCTATGACTAGATTTAATATTCTTCATTTCCTCCTCCATTTAATTGAGAGGTAAGGGTTTATAAATGAAATAGTTTAAATGTATGTATGTTTGTAGTCATGGTCATCAGACTCGCTAAGTGCACTTCAAGCCATCAGCGCCAGAATTTCAAACTCCAGTCCAAACACAGTCAATAATATTCTGTACGACTATCGGACCAAGGGCAACAGGTGGAGCTGTGTTGGATGCCGTCTCACATAGCTATTCATGGAAATGAAAAAGCAGACACACTGGCGAAGCTTGCTCCAGACAAAGCGGAGATACAGCCTATCCCCTTCAGTGAACTAGAGATAAAAAGCAAAATCAAAGCCACCATAGCCCAAA